TACATGCTCGTTACCGAGCATGTACATGCTCGTTACCGAGCATGTACATGCTCGATACCGCTCAGTACATGCTCGGTACCTGACCGGGCTGGTCGAACCCCTCCAGGGGGCAGCGTCCCCTTGGACACCCGACAGACCGATATATTATTGTATTAATGTTGTCTTATTATTGGGATATTTTGATTTCACTTCATATTAATTTAACTTGATGTATTCATATGTATGATTAGTTTGTTACAATCTTATCTAGATAAAAATAATGAATAATCAAGATTTAAAAGAAATTATAATTTCTATGTTAACGGATAGTAGTTCAAATAGAGAATATCCATTATGATTTAGGAGGAATATACACCAAGCTCTAATTTGTTAGTGTCATTTAATCTATTTCACCAGTGACTTAGTGTCATTTAATCTATGACATAATGTTTTAAATACATATGTGTGTCAAAGACTAACCTCTAAATCTAATTCTATCATTCCCTCTATTAAGTAGTTGGACCTTCATGTTGTACTAAATGATTTTTTGCTTATACTTTTGTGGTTGTACTAAACATTTTATATTAAACATCTTTAAGTTATAAGGTAAACAAGTTATCATAAAATTGATTTATTATTGCTTGGCATTTTTAATAATGACACTTTAATTTCAATATATTATATTAAAAAATTATTATGTCGTATCCACGCCGCACTCGTGTCCTATATTTTTAAAAAATGGTGTGTCCCGTGTCCGTGTCGTATCCGAGTCGTCGTGTCCGTGTCGGTGCATCATAGTCCTGTACTAAAATTCAGCTCATTAATGCTTAGCTACTACTTATTCAGCTCATAAATTGAAATTAATTGGGTTCATTCCCCCTCTCTATTGGCCCTTTGGTTTCCCCACTTAGCTCCCCTTCCGTGGCTAGTTCCTTCTCCCTGGTGGCTGCCTGTTCCTGTTCCCCTTATGGTCGCCCGTTCCTTCCCCCTTGGTTGTATGTTCCGGTTCCCCTGGCCGTCTGTTCCTTCCCCCTTAGCTGCTTTTTCTGATTTCCTGTTTGTCTCTTCGGATGATGTTTCTGGACTAATTGCTGACCTTCCATTTTCCCTATGTCATGATTGGCTAGATTGATGGTAATTTGGGTTGTTTGGCTGCCCCGTTTACCCTATAAATATTAACTGTTTTGTAAGCATAAAAAGAGGTTATGTGAGTGATTTTTTGAGCCAAAATCTGCGGGTTTTCTTGGAAAAGCTTGCGAGTTTGTTTCATTCCTCTCTTCTTCTTAGGAAAGCTTGCGAGTTTGTCCTCTCTTTCGTCTCGGCTTCTTACCACTTTCTTCTCTCTGTAAGTGTCCACCCCATATGTATCTTTCTTCTCGATAAATAAAAGCAATTTTAGGTGTTTTTATTTTACAGGTTTGTAAGGATCGTCTTTATAATATGGAAGTTGAATTATATTTTGTTTATGTGTTGTCGCTTTGTCTTATTTAAGTTTTTGTGTCGATATATGATGGTAAGTGTGAAATTCCTAATTTTTATTATTATTTTCTTATTTCGAAGAAATCTTTAGTATGCTTGCAAAATTAGGGTCTTCCTAATTTTTTTGCTTGCATCAATTAACCGAAAAAGGCAGTCAAGGGGGAAGGAACGAGCGATGAAGGTAATTTTAGACATAGAAGCTCATTAAAATTACAACCCAAAAAATAGGCTCATAATTTGCCCCCCCTGCCTACATCAGATTCTTCCCCGGTTGAAAGAGCTCATCTCCTGATGAGGTTGCTTTAGATTTATCCCAATGAGACGAAGGAGGCGCATCTAATTCTCGAATCGTGTCCTCATATTTCTTCAGAATCACCTCTCATTCTTGCTTGAAATGTTCTTGCAGAAATTTCTTTTTCTTCATATATTGCTTCGTACACATATGCATTTTCATTTGAAGCTTGTATAACTCATTTTGAATCAGGTCAGTTGAACTGTCTTCTGATGGAATCCATCTGTCCAATGAAATTGGGACTTCAAGATCTTCTGGTTGATTTTCTTCGACAACCACAAAAAAAACCTAGGAATATACTAACCTAGACTCAAACAACAACTATTATGACTCACCAAGACTCTCTCGACTACCTAGCTCTGATACTAAATTGATGCAAGCAAAAAAAATTAGGAAGACCCTAATTTTTGCAAGTATACTAAAAGACTTGGAAAAATAACATAATACATGCTAAAATTCAACTTTCATATTATAAAAGGACTCTTAAAAACTTATAAAATAAAAACACCTAAAGGAGCATACATTCATCGAGAAGAAAGCTACATATGGGGTGGACACTTGCGGAGAGAAGAAAGAGGTAAGAAGCCAAGACAAAAGAAATGACAAGCTCGCAAGCTTTCCTAAGAAGAAGAAGAGAGGACTGGAACAAGCTCGCAAGCTTTTCCAAGAAAAACCCTCATGTTTTGTTCCAAAAATTCTTCATAATCTTCCTCTTTTTCAATTACAAAACATCAAATATATATAGGAAAAATGGGGCAACCAAATAGGCCAAAAAACCTCCAATTAAACTAATCAGGTAAGGGGAAATGGAAGGCCAGCATTCAGTCCAGAAAAAGCACCTAAAGAGTCAAACAGGAAACCAAAAAAAGCAGCCAAGGGGGAAGGAACGGACGGCCAGGGGAATCGGAACAGGCAGCCAAGGGGGAAGGAAGGGGCAGCCATAAGGGGAACCGGAACAGGCAGCCACAAGGGGATCAAAACAGGCCGCCACAAGGGAGAAGTAACCAGCCACGGGAAGGGGAGCCAAGTGGGGAAACCAAAGGGCCAATAGAGAGGGGGAATAAACCTAAATAATTTTAAATTATGAGCTGAATAAATAGTAGCTTAGCATTAATGAGTTGAATTTTAATAAAGGACAATAAAACAAGACATCACACACTAAAAATCATACACACCACACACCCAAAAAATAGGCTCATGATTGATTGCCCGCCCTCACCCCCACCTGTTCCCCGGGCCTCCATTCGTTTCTGTCGTCAAAAGTTTGTCAACATGGGCCCGTGAGAATAGTCTTTTGCTTATATACAACTCCAAGTGAGGTACTTTAAACTTTAAAGGAAACCTTGCCTTGGATAAGGTATTGGTGACTTCATGCTCTAATCTTATAATCCAGTTGGCGAACAATAATCTTCATCACTCGTCGAAGTGCGAGTGCAGTCGAGGATGGTGTCAAAGTTAGTGCTCTCTTTGGGTGCCTACAGCAAGCTTTCGAGTTAAGAGATCCAAGAATGTCTTGTACTCGCACTCGCCTCTAGAGGATGCATAGGGTGTCTTGGAATGTCTTCATAAGTCATTCCTCCATCTATTATAAGTCGTAATGGATAGTGAATTCACTATTCTTCATATTCACTGAAGATTCTTACTAAAATTACTCGTTCTGCAGGGCATGCTTCTTGTCACTGCATCAATCCACTCTCACTGCATCAATCCACTCTCACCGCATCTAAGAGTATGTTAATTTCATATTTTTCCATGGATGACACCCGACTTTACTAGCAGGTCTACCCAAATAGTAGAAGAATATATGCATGAAAATAGAGTGTGCAAAAGAAGAGCAGTGAAGAATTGAAGATCTCAAACAAGTTGAATTTTTTCTACTAGTCAAAGAGATCTTTTGTATTTTTCTAGGATCTATATATGTGTCCCTCCGAAATGTTCTCATCGCCTCTTATTTATAGAATTATGGGGGCTACAAAAAAGGCTACATAGAAAAAGTAAAAAAACAATGCTATACAAATTACATATACATGCTACAGTGCATTTTATGCATGTCACCCCCTCTTATTTCAATATTAAAACTTTCTTTGCATGCCTGCATAATTAAAGATATCAAACTGAAATTTAATATTGGACTCTCCGCTTGTAAAAATTATGGAATCAGAAAAAGGAAGTGAAGGAAAACAAGTGAGTTATAAGAGAGGCCACAATAATGCACCTGTCACCTATGAGTCCAAGAAATTGATTCCAGCACACAACAGTCAGGTTCCTTGATTGGATAATCAGTCGTAATTAAAATAAATTAACTCAATTACACACATTTTGGATGCTTCATTTGCAAAAGTACAGGATCTTTTATCTACGATAAATAAATTTGGCTTCAATAAACTTTACACATGCATATATCTATAATTAAGAAAAATTATTTGGATTGATAAAAACGTTCCAAAAATGATGCTGTGATAAAAAATTCACAACTAAAAAGCACATAAATATATTTGATGAATGAAAGAGTACATTTATATTGCAATGCCGTTTAATTAATTAATATGAACATTTTTTATTTTATTTAGTTCAAATTAGGATTAGAATGCAAGAATTATTTCACCTTAGAATAAATTAGCATCCGAAACTTTTATGGTAAAATAACCATGCATAAATGGAAGATACGTCACAAATAACCATCCGGAGATGTGGTGGTAACTACACCATGCAAACAGATCCTTAGCCCATTCTTTAGAACTTCAATAGTAATACTTTCAATCTCCCTGGTTCTTTTCGGAACTAGTATTTAAATTTAATGAGGCAGGTTTGTAAAATATTTAACTAACAATGGCACATCACAAAAGTTAAACATATATATATATATATCTTGAAATGTTAAATTAAAATAGTCAACCAAACTTTACAATAAACATATTTGTTGATAAATGGATCAAATTTCTACAATTAAGATTAAATTGTTAAAATTGAGATATATTTAAAACATGCTATTGATTTCCCCTCAACAATCCCATGTAAATTAAGACTAACTAGCCCTTCAAACCAATGCAGCAGGTTACGCATTTAATTTCAAAGAAGACTCCAAATTCACAGCAAGAATGTTATTACGCCCGAGTATAGATCCATAAAAGTTTTTTAGAAAAAAATAATTATCAACAACAGTAATTTAAACCTAAAATGACATGAATGAATCCATTAGAAAGGAAGGGTACAAAATTTATGTTCCGAGCTACTGCGAGGTGAAAATTACCACAATAGAATGCAGCGACGATGGCCAGGTTGGTGGCATAAGTTGCAGAGACGTTAGCGACGCCAAAAGTCTTCCTGTTTTTGGAGACCAGTCCGGCTGCTCCACCAATCACCCCTGAATGTCAAAATCCCCGTAGTAAATTTAGTTTTGTAGTTAAAACTAAACCGTTACGAGTCAATACTTAATCGTCCACCTGATATAATCAATACGGCTAACATATGTGGGTCAGTGTGAGAGAGAGCGAGAGACAGAGGGGGCCGGGAGAGAAGTTTGGAGATTTGGGTTACCGCTGCACGAATAACGAAGTGGAAAGTGTCGAAGAAGAACCTGCGAGTAATGTTGGAATAATGATGCGTCTTTTCCAGCCGTCGGAGGAGTGATTTCCCAGCGGGACGCCGTCGGAATTAGTCATTGCTAACGTTTGTTTCCGCCCGGCTTCTATGCACAACCTAGACGAGAGAAAAAAAAAAAACTGAACGGAAGCAGATATGGTCAGCGCTGCGGGAGGGTAGACCGATGGTAGAAATTATTTGCTGCTAAATGTGATACTAATATTCAAGATATAATTAGTATTTATTGTCTCAATGTTGATCAGCGGAGTGTATATTATGAGATTATTAGTCATGTTAATAATAAACACAAAATGCCATTTTTTTTTTATTGATGGTCCTAAAGGTACATAAAATATATTTATTGTCTCAACGTTGCTAATACTATTTGATCGTGACCTCTTAAAGTTATAAGTATAGCATGATATAAGTAACAATATCAATCTTCCATGGTGGTCAAACATCACATTCAAGATTTAAAATATCTATAAATTTAATGGAAAGTAATATGTGTACAATTACAAAGCAAAGTGAACTTGCTTAATTACTGATTAAATCAAGTATTATAATTTGGGACGAAGCACCTATGGTGAAACATATAACAATCGATCTTTAGATAGAACTATGATAAATATTATGAACAGCTCTAACTACTTTGGTAATAAAATTGTTGTATTTAGAGGTAATTTTTTACAAATATTATCATTGATAAGACATGCATCTAGATTGGAAACGATTAACTATAGCTTGATAAAATCATACCTATGGTCAGATAGGAAAGTTTTTTAATTAAAGGAAAATATGAGAGCAAGAACAGATCTTTTATTTTGTGAATTTATATTTAGAATTGAAAATGAATATGATGAAGAAAATTGAAGACGAATTAGTGCATATTCTAGATGACATGATAATAAAATATTCAAATCATGAGAATTTTGAATATTTATTAATAAACAAAATATTTTCTTATCTACAACGAAATGATGTATATTCAGAATATTGTATGGAATGAGTTATACTAGCAAAAAAAATGAGTTTATTGATAAACTTAATCAATAACTTTTTAAGTATTTTTCAGGAGAAGAGTTTGTTTATTTCAGTTTTGATAGTGTTACTGATGATACATCAAATCTTTATTAAGTTGAATTTCTTAACTCGTTAACACCAAATGGACTTCCTCCTTATTATTTTGTTCTCAAGAAATATTGTCCAATAATATTATTAAGGAATTTAGATCCATCAAATGATTTGTATAATGGGTCATAAATGATTTCCAAATCATTTAAATATAATGTTATAATTGTCGAAATTTATACTAGGCAATTCTCTGGGAAAGCTATTATGATAGCTCTAATTTCATTGAGTATAAGTTGTTGATTTCGTATAGGTTTTTAAATTTATGCAATTGTCCCAAGGCTAACCAAGAGGGGGGTGAATTGGTAATTAAAAAAAAAATCTTGGATTTTTAATAGAAAACTAATTTTTGTATTTTTTACAAAAGTAATTTTTCAACAACAAATACTAAAATGCTGAAAAATAAAAATACGGAAATAAAAATGAACACAATAATTCATAGTGGTTTGGTCCAACAAGACCTACGTCCACTCCCTGAAGACTCCCTCTTCAGGTATTGCACTATTATCAAAGTAACTCTCTTTTTGCCCCAACAGCAAGGCAGAGAATCGTTTACAATTTTCATCTCTTCCACCAATCTTCGGAGCAACAGAGTACCGTCATCCTTTTACACACTCCAAGTGTAGGCAGAGTACTGTCGTCTATTTACACCCTCCAAGTATCGGCAGAGTACTATTGTCTATTCACACTCTTCAAGTATTGGTAGAGTATCGTCGTCTATTCACACCCTCCAAGTATCGATAGATTACCGTCATTTGTTCATACCCTCCAAGTGTCGGCAGCGTCGTCTGTTCACACCCTCCAAGTATCGGTAGAGTACGGTTGTCTGTTCACACCCTTCAAGTGTCGGTAGAGTACCAAATCTTCTTCAAAGATCTTATCTCGAGCAACTAGAAAGAAAAAGGATGAGTTGTAATAAAAAAATAAAAGAGATTCTTACCTTTGAGTAACCTTGTGATCCCTTCACACTCTACATGCAAGAACTCTCTCTCAAACACTCTTCTAAAGATACTCTTTCACTTGCTCTCAAAGAAATCATGAAGAAAAACATTTCTTAAGTTAGTTTGAGGACCTTTTATATGAAGACACAAAAAACCATCCATAAAATTGAAATTTTCCATTTTGAGCGTATACGATCGTAAAGTACAATCGTATTTCATACGTACGAATAGTTCAAAACTGTTGCGTACGAACCTATATAAAATATTTTTGTACACGATGATCGTCTAGTATGAACCATGTTCGTACTATACGAATGGTTAAGAAAATTTTTTAATTTTTTCAGGATGAAAAGGTACCCCACGTTTTCAAACTCTAGATGTCATATATACCAACCATTTATCGTATAGTACAATCAGTTCAGAAAATTTTGATGTTCATTGGGATGAATAAGAACCCATTCTTTTCAAACTCTAGACGTCATTCGTATGAAGGTCACTTCATATAGTACGAACTATTCAGAAAAATTTGATGTTTGTCGGGATGAAAAGGAACCCATTCTTTTCATACTCTGGATGTCGTCTGTATTAAGGTCAATCTGTACAATACGAATCATTTTAAAAAATTTTAATGTTTGTCAGGATGAAAAGGAACTCGTTCTTTTCATACTCTGGACGTCATTTATACGAAGGTCACTTTGTACGGTACGAACAGTTTTATAAAAGCTTAGAAATCATTAGGACGAACAGGGACGTATCTATTTCATACTCTCGACATTGTCTGTATGAATAAGGTTTCGTATATTACGATCAGTACTTAGAAAAATTTTCTTCTCTTGTTCGTTTAACTACTCGTAGGAGAGAATAACTGAACAAATCGTCTCATACGAACTAAATTCGTACAATATGATTAGTTTTAAAAAAAATATAAATTTTAATCACTCCTCTAATGTGTATATATATGATTACTCAATTAGAATCACACTCTCTCAGATTCAATAAAATAAAAATTATAGACTCCATTTATAGTAACCCTAATCAATTTTCCCTTGAAGTTTTTAACAATCTAAATTATGATTTCTCTGAAATGTTAGTACACAAATAACAAAAATAATATATCTAAAATATGTTAGGAGAAATTGTAATTAAAATAATAATATTTGAAATCATTAAAAACACACATGTTGCAATAATCTCAACAATTGAAAAACTAAGTTGCAATAATTTCAACAATCTCTCCCTTTTTTATGATGGCAAAATAATTATTATTTAAGTTAAAATTTATACCCTAAATTTCTCCTTAGCTCCACCTAAATGAATTAATATTGTTTAATATAGGGAATTTCCATGAAGAACAAAATATATATATTTTTTTTAATTTTTGAAACAAAATCATATAAACATAAAGAACACGCACAAACAACAAAAACACAAAAAAACAAAATTACAAAAAACACAAACATAAATAAGCTAGAACATAAGAACACTAAAAACACAAACACAAATAACAAAGGCACAAATAATATTATTACTCCCCCTTTTGAAAACAATAAAAAGGGAAGAAGAAAATTGAAATTAAAGATGTCAAATGAGAAATCATAAGAATTGATCTTGAAAGTAATTGTAATATAGTTGCAATAATAAAGTTAATTACATAATATGAAAAAGAAATATTAAAAAATTTTAAATTAAAGAACAACTTAGCTAAGAAAAGTTAATCAAGATCATGATGCATTCTAGACAATTACATAAAGATGATTATTGCAAAAGTGACGAAATGAAGATTAGTTAATTTCAATTTTTAATATAGAATATAATTTAAAATTAGATTAATTTGAATTAAAAATTAAATGATAGATGAAAGAAAAAAAATCAATTAATGCATTGCACGTCTTTTCAAATATTTATGGCACACTTTGTGCATCTTTTTTCTATTTGGACTAACTTTATGCCTTTTTTATTTTGCGAACCATTGCGTATTCATTCATTTTTTATACACATTGTACATTTCTTCTTGATATACATCTTTTTTATTTGGTCTTTCCAAAATCAATAATCTAAAATCAAATTTCTCTAATAAAAAAATAATTATATTAAAAAAGAAATAAAAAATAATAAGACATCAAAATTGTAATAATAATATTCAAATTATGTTTGCCTAAAAAGAATATGAAATTGATATGCTTAATTTAATTGAGTTATAAGTTAATTTAAATTTTAAAAAAATTAGTTTTCATAATGAAATTAATTTTTTAATACAAGTTAATTTATAACACATTTTTAGATCAATTAAAAGTGGCTTTGAGTATAAATATACCCTCATTTCAAAAATTAGAACAACAACAAATTCACAAAACATGACAACTTTTATTGATATCAAATAAAATGTTGGATACAATCAATGCATTGATATCAATAAAATAACATTCAAACATCAAAACCTAAAACATCACAACACTAAAGCAAGTGCTACAAGAGATAAATAAAAAGACATCCTCACAACATGTTACATCACAAACACGAAGACATCACAAGTAAAGGATAACAGAGGCAACGACAAAGAAGGACATCTAAAAGTCAAAGGGGCCCTAGTTCGGAGGAGGTTGGTTGAACACTGAAAAATAATTATTCATCATTGCAACATTAGTATTAACCATGTCAAACTGACCACGGATCCATCCCATGTCCTCATGGTACCTTGTATCCTGCTGGTTTAAATGTGTCTCAATTTGATTAAAGCATTGATCAAAGTGAGTTTCTATATGATCAAAATGATTGACCAACTACTGAAAGTATTGTTAATTAGGTTCAGGTACAAGTGCAGCAACTCCCCCTTCTTCTTTAGAATCTCCAATAGAACCTGGTCTCTCCCAAACAAAGATCGAAAGGAAGCATCGGTAAAATAAATTGGGAGTTCAGTCAGAGTATTAGGGTTAATAATTTGGTACTTCTTATCTAAAATGTATGTCACTAAGTGTCCTAGAGCTATTTTTCTTCTTCCTCTTGTGATATTGAAGCCCAATTTCAGAAAGATTATTAATGTAATCCAGGATGAGTTGGGCCTCATCAATAGATTGTCTGGTCATGATCAAATATGTAACATTTGACAAAAGAGAAGTTATATTATGTAATCACCAGCCTTAAGAATGATTAAGTTCTTA